TCGCTCAGTCGGTATAGTTCGCTTGTGGACTACAGGCTAAGGAGTTTTTTTATCAAATAAATAAGGCATGAAGATACCAACGGGATTCTTTTGGTTCATGGCAGAATCCAGTGGCTGACTGTTGTCAGCACTCCAGTAAATCTTAGGGTTCCATTAAAGTTAAGGATTATCTATATAAAGTGAGCGATAATCAGCTTCAAAAAGTCTCATATTCCAAAGCAGCTAAGAAAACAAGCAGTCATAACAACATGCTTACACAGGTAAGTAAGTTTAGTACATATTAATTTCCTGCGCAAACGAGACAGCGCAGGTTTACTATGCGTAGGATTGAGCTTCTCACAGCGGTGGTTATGAACAGTACCATCTTCTCCGATATAAGTAACACCGTGTAGCCCGTTGAAAGCCCGCCGACGTTTCGGAGGAACATACCGCCTCTATCTTCAGTTACGAACAATACTCAGAACATGAAGCCAACGTGAAAGCAGCTCTCCTCGCCACATGTTTAGTGCTGCTTTCTTGCTCGGCTTATTCTTCGTAAGTGAAGATAGAGGCGGTATGTTCCTCCGAAACGTCAGCTGACTTTCAACGGACTATATGGCGTTATATTCTAGAATACATCACTCTTCTTTAATGCACGCGATTAACGCTTTACCTGATAATTTCAGACGACATCTTGCTGCTCAAATATAACATACGAACTAGCACAGCTCAGAAACTTTTTCGTGCGTTCTTTTTACTCTTCTTTTATGATACAAACACAAAAAAAAACTAAATAAATACTAGATGGTCTCTTCATAAAATAGTAAAATCCTTGGGGTCCTTAAAATGCACTTCCTGACCAAATGACCGACTATTAGTGTCTCAAGAAGGACTCTGTGTCCCATGGGATTTGCTAAGGCAATGTACATACTATTTTTACGAACATGGCCGCGATAGCCAACAGCCATGGAATAAACACAACAAAAAAGACGTAGATTCTAAAGGGTTCTGACGATGGTGGATAACACAAAGCATTACTGGATCTTTGGACTATTTACATCGTCCGGAATTCTAGGAAATAGAAAACACGACGTTTCGGAAACTGGATCTGTTTCCGTCTTTAGGTGAGGATGGAAGACACCTACTTAGTTGGGCCCAGTGATTGAGATTATCTCTTTCTAAGGGGTCCAACTGAGTAGGTGTCTTTCTTCTTCATCTGAAAACGGAAACAGATCCACTTTCCGAAATGTCGTGTTTTCTATTTCCTAGAATTCTGGACGAAAAAAAGTCAGAAAACCCAGTAATTCTGTGTGAAAAAATAACGTACATAACAGAGGCATAGGCTGTGTTTGACAATCACTGTACAGATGCATCGGATCAGCGTCACACGCGGCATCTGCCGAAACACTGAAATTGCCAAAAGATATTAAGAACCGTTTAGGATAGTTTAGAACTAGGATTGTTGGGAAGTCAACTTGTTGAAAGCGGCTCTGAGAAGTGCAGACAGAAGGAGAAGAAGAGACCATGTCGCCCAATGGTGCTAGATGTTGAAGACCTTCCCTCAGTGACTGACTAATAGCATACTGCCCGTACACTAACTGCCATCTGCACCAAGCCTCACCCAGGTCGTTTTCCTTCCACCAGAAGCTCTCGCGCAGAAACGGAATGAGAAATGCTGTGGGAAAGTTTAAATTAAACGGGAGTTTAGATGGAGAAATGATGGCGTGTTTTTCCTCCTTTGCTGCTTGCCAGTTGTAACCTGAATGGGGGGAGATAAAAAAGGGTTGGTGCGTTATATAACAAATTTCCATTAGTGAAAGCTAATGATAAAATGTAGTACTAATAAAGCTCCAAAGTTTAGCGTGTAAGTACATTGTTTGCTCGGTGCTGTCTGCAGTTATCAGAGCAGAAATAAGAAAGACTCGTATCCCAAAATTTGAAATAATGCAAGTGTTATTCAGGTCGAGACGTAAGACATCTCGTTATCAAATAGTCTTCATGATTTCTGTTTTAATTACTTCATAATCCGATCCTCATGGAGAAGTTTTAATTAACATGATGGTGCTTCTTGTATAATTGTTAATTAAAAATATAAATTTAAGATCATCATAAAGTAAGAAATGGATATCGGCGATGTTGACGAAAATTCACGCGTTTGCTCAAAGACCCAATGACAAATTATACACGTAAAATAAGCACGAAAGAGAGGAAACAAAAACACATATATCCAATGAAACGTAAAAAAACAAGGCAATTTGTTTAATTTAGGCAATTACAAGAATTCAATAAATATAATGGTGTCAGTCTTTTTGCTATGAGAAAAATGCATGTAAATACATATTGAGTACAACTGATAATTTAATAAGAAATTACCATTACAAAGTACGATCAAAAACAGCTTCCAAATACATCTAAGTCCCTGCACACATCATTAGCAGCTGAAGCCCATCTAGCAGAGGAGAAATTTACAATTGTGCACGCGGTAGCGTAGTTGGTTGAGGCACTATGCTACAAGCCGGAAGGTCGCGGGTTCAGATCTCAATGAGGTCATTGGATTTTTTTTCAATTGACCTAATCCTTCCGGGCGCACTATGGTCCTGGGGTCGACTCAGCCTCTAACAGAAATGCGTACCAGGAATTAATTAAATAATTTTCCTGGGGAGTAAAGCGCGGCCGGCGCGTAAGGCTGACAACCTTACCGCCATCTTTGTGGCGATTGTCTAGATAATGTGGGACCATCAACGTCTCACAGCCCTTCACGGCCTGTTACAGGGATAGCTTTACTTTACTTTACTTTACTTTAACAGCGTACAGGTGTCTCTACCTTGTCGTGAGGNATATATTGTGAACTGTGTTTCAGGCAGCTGTGACACAGGCATACCATATGTAGTTCTTTATTTAGTTCAATCTGTTAATGAGAATTCACCTTCCGCTGACAAAGTCGGATTCTGGTCTGCATTTGTCGTAACCCTGTTCGAATCTTAACGAGGTTACTGGCTGCCTACTCGTAGATTATTTTCTTTCAGTATCTCCCAACGCTCGAAACTAAGCCCGCGCTATTGCCTTGAAATAGATCCGATCACGCCTTTCTAAATCCTTATATGATCATAATAAAAAACAGCACAATTCGGTGCATTTTAAATAGCGTCGTTAAATAACAATAACAGCAATGAGTAGAATCTTATCTAATTCAGAGCCAAAATGTACGAAATAACACCACCCAAGGCCGTGCCAAAGCTCAGGCGGTTAGTCGCCGACTTCCAACCGCGACGGCCCGGGTTCGAACCCAGGTCACTTCATGTGGGGTTTGTGGTGGAGAAAGTGGCACTAGGACAGATTTTATCTCTGTACTTCGGTTTTCCTTGTCTTTTTATCATTCTACTGACTGCTCCACATTCATCATCATCTATCTTCCGGGACTGGTACAATAGGCCAATTAGCGGCCGACGTACCAATTGGACTCAGTTTCACCCCACCTCAAGGGACAAAAAGAAAAACTAACCACCATCTAACGGGTTGCATAGGACAGGTAGGAACAATCGACTACTTTGGGAGCCACTACGAACCATCGTAAGTGACGTATGCCCTTACATCATCGCTAGAGACTTCAACGCGCTTCCACTATTCTACAGACACACGTACAGGAATTCCTTTTCCGTAAAGTTGCCCGCACAAATCACGACGGGCCCTTGTTCGTACATTAGATACATTTCACATAGTGTTCCCTTCCGCTGAAATAATGAAGACCGCCCGAAGACAAAGTTCGCGTCACAGTTCTACAGATACAGGACACAGTCACAGACCTTAAAACCATAAATGCATATCTGTGAATCCCCAGACCGTCCTGTTTGTTGGCTTCGTCTGGGAGCATACGAGGTATCATGAGGGTTTCCGGTGTGTCACCCTTGGGGGTATGGTAAAGATGCCTAAGCAGCGCTGGCAATGAATTTATAGAATAAGTAACACGGAATCAGCTGCTGAAATGTAAACTGTTCAAAGTACGTTCTGTACGGTGGCCTTAGTTCTGTTGGATATACACGTATGGCGGCTGATCTTGCCGTAGGAAATCCAACGGAACGTCGGATTGTTATTATACGGGATGTCGTCTAGCAAGGGCTGTCCAAGGCAGCAACCAGGTCATTTCTTGAGGTAGTGATGTTAAACACAGGCGGCGGTGGTTGTATGTCTGTAAAAATTATGTTCTAAACCTTTGAATGAGGTTCACACTTCCACTCTGAGAATGGAGGAATTGGATTCCTCCGAAAATTTCTACCAACAGAACTACACGGCGTCACATCATAGAAGGATGTGTTCTTAGTTCACTTCTTATTGCGTTATCTAAAAGAGCTTGGCATGTTATTCCCGCGGAATTACAAGAAAAATGCAATTTATTAATAGTATTTTTAATAATGGTCATCCATACATTAAGAACATAAGGCCTAAAAATTGTCAGATTTCCGACCTCCCTGTTTTGAGATGGAAACGTCAGCCTCTTTAGGCATGTGCATTTCGTGACCTGTTTACCATTCAAATGTACACTCATTGAAAACGTGTACCTGCCATTACGTAACAAGATACCAGCCTTGCACAATATATTTCATGCAGGAAGCGTGTCAGATCGGAGAGGCGCTATTCCTTTCAGGCGTACACCTCTGATTATTGGAGCACGCGGTAGCATAGTTGGTTGAGGCACTATGCTACAAGCCGGAAGGTCGCGGGTTCGAGTCCCTTTGAGGTGGAATGATTTTCAGATGACCTAACCCTTCCAGCCGCACTATGGTCCTGGGATCGACTCAGACTCTAACAGAAATGAGTACCAGGAATCTTCGTGGGAGATAAAGGGCGGCCGGCGCGTAAGGCCGACAAACTTACCGTCATCTGTGAGCCGACTGCCTAGAGAAAATGGGTGAGCCTGTTACAGGGAATTCTGAGAAGATATAGAGGTAGGCCCATTTCAAGGAAAATGCCCAAATTCTTGTGAGGAAAACCAAAAAGAAGATCCCCCGACTGGGAGTACTCACACTGAACGTGAAGCTGCAGCGACTGGTTGAGGGGATGGCTGAGTGCCTGGTGTCGAGCGAGACATGTGACTGTGGAGTTGTGGTGCGCCCTCAGAACGGTGCCCAGATGTGCCTCGCTGCTGTGTGGGTGGTTACCGCCGCTCGTGTTGAGGCCAGGGGTATGGTGCGGCGTGAGTAACCAGGCCAGACTCGCGGGGGGATGACCGCCCTCAACAAAGCAGCTAACCGCTAGCTCAGCGCCTTCCTTAACAGGCAGGAAGAGGTTCCCTGGGTCCAGGCGTCGCCCGTCCACTGCGAGATACAAGGACCTTGGCGGTTCTGCAACACAAGACATTAAGTCGCTTTCAGTACAAGAGATTCTCAGTCTCAAGGTCATGATACTCAGTCCATGGGAAACGGTGTGAGGAACTGTAGTACATAAAACGAAGGTAACAAATGACTGCGAGAGAGGGGAGAATGGGCTCCAGAAAGAGAAAGAGACGAACAAATAACGAAGGAATTATGAATTAGAGAGAGGGTTATCATTACTTGTAGTTACGAGTTGTGAGACTCCAATAAATTCGATTACCAATTCAAACCCCGTCTACAGTCACCTGAACACGTGATAATATATATTTCAGTCCTCTCGTCAGCGTTCCTGGCTAGAGATCCAGAGGTCCGGGTTCGATTCCCGGCGCTACCAGATTTTTTCGGAGAAGTAGTGGGTCTGGAACGGGGTCCACTCAGCTTCGTGATGATAATTGAGGAGCTATTTCAAGGAAATAGCGGCACCGGTCTTGTCGTGACCCAAGATGGTGGCGGGTCGACTGAATTATGTTGGCCGAGCGGTAGCGTAATAATTCAGTGATGGTGATGGTCAGTTGGCTGCTGGAGCGGGTATTCCAACCACAAAGAGCAAATACTCACTACAGATAATAGAGGATTTATTGATTCTTAGTGTATATTACATACAAGCGCTGGTGGACGTAAGCCTGGCCAGCCTTCTCGTAGCCCCAACCCAGACAAAATGCACCCTTCAACTTCCCTCTGTTTCTTAAAACCTATCTAAAACTAAACTTTCAGTCCAGTGTCTCGAGACATGAACCCTCACGCAGCTCAGATTACGCCAGCTGGTGTTAAAAGATAGGTCCCAGACGAAACACTCCAGGACCCCCCTAATCTATGGAATGGCAAGGGTAAATATAACAATTTTTTGTTGAGGTAGCAGGTCAACCTCTTAACGTTCTGTAAATTTAGTAGGGGGCATGACCCAAGACATCAGACTCAAGTTCCTAAAATTAAAGATTTTAAAAAGGGTTGCGAACCCCGCAACACCTCCCCCCTTAAGATGGAAACATTTGCAAAAACAGGTGCTAATGTTTCCCAACACAAATATAGGCTATATATACTACAGATTACAGAAACATAAATCTACCATCTACGTTTACAAGTCTTACGCACCCCTGAGTGGGTGCTTACCGTTGGTACTGGATCCAATTCTGTCATCTCAAGGCTTGTTGCAGCTGGGAGCGATCGCAGGCTCTGGCTGCGAGTCTCCTGGTCAAGAAATCTATCTGTTATATTTTCATCTGATGATTTGAGTTCTCTTTGATTTATGACCGTTTGGCGTATACAGATTCTGCCACAACAGTCATCGTCCAAAAACCTTTTCAAAAAGTTACACCTTTTACAGAAACAACAACAGATTAATAACATCATGACTACCATAATTGTTATTCCCAGGTAGGAAAGGAATTTCAAATGATCAATTTTATGGTCTCTGTTCAGTTCAGCTTCATTTTGAATTATTAATTGTTCTACCTGGTCAACAGAGTGACTAGCGTATTTAAACGCATTTGAATGACCTAAAATATTTTTCAATGGTACGTCAGGTATGAATTTCATTGTATCGAGCTTTACTCTGGATCCTAAATGCTCACAGCAATCATAATGCAGTGTTACACTGGGAATAAAATCCTTATCGGTTCTGTTACTCGTGAAACTCATTTGGGTCTGTAATTTTGTGTTTAGCCCTAAGGCATCGCATCTGCCAAACATTGACAATACACCTGTACCTTGTAGAATTATGTCACTGGGTTCTAAATCGTTACACAGAATTGTCACCCTTTCCTTGTGTGACGTGGCAAATATCCACTTATTATGAGTAAGGGGTAACCAGGTTACATCATCAAGAGAAATGATTTTCCTTTTGCAGTCTAACGGAATTCTTGTAGTGGGCTCTAACAACCTGACCTCGCATTCCTGGTGAACATGTGTGGATTTTACAGGGAATGTCTGTTTACATACACGCCAGTCTGGCGAAATAACCTTACACTCATCTAATTCTAATTCATTCAGTTTAACATACACTTGTTTCAATGTATCTATCATGAGAAAGTCCTTTTCACTTTCAATGAAAACGAAGATATTTTCACTGTTATTAACTTTCGTGGGAAATGGAATCAGTTTGTACAAATGGAACACAGCACTGTTCACTAAGGGTATCTTCAGGACGTAACCCAAAAGATTGTTATTTAGAAACACATCAATATCAATTATGTTCATCAATACATGTTCGTAAGCCACTCTTGCAGTGTTAGGAAGGGAAAGGTCACGTGGAAGGATCGAATGGGAATCCTGAAAGGCTCTTATAATATCTCCAGGGGTGATTATTTGAGGTGATAATATTCCTTTCTGTGCAAAAATAATTGCAAATAACAACGTGTCATACCCTTCCTTCAGCTGACCAATTAAATGTTCAATGATTATCATGTGTTGATTAGTTGCAATCAAAAGAGTGGTTTGCGAAAACGCTTGGTTTGTCTTCTCCACGTTTTCATTTACTTGTTTCTGCATTGTTCTAGAGTTCTCGTTAATTTGCAGTTCATTGGCTGCAATATCGACTAATGTGTAATTTACCGTCTGCAATGTGGAACGCACAACAGTCATTTGTTCCTTGGCTACCTTTAGCATTGAAAGTTGCTCGGACTCTAATTCGCTTATTTTGTTTTGGTAATAATCAGCGTCTTCACTTGACAAAGTACCAAATAAAATTTTGGAAACTGTTCCAATAAAATTAAAAACACCTCTTTTAATTCTTTTAGCATGTGTATGCGTATTATCGGAATGAAATACCTCCTCCTCTTTATTCTTAGTAATTTCGGAAATTATGCGCCGCGTTCTATGAATTTTCAGTACGCTCTGATTCATCAGGGACAGGTCCGACTGACAGGTAGAAATGGCTTCAGGTGGCAACTCTTTACACATTGCTCCAGTCTGAGCGACAAAATCTACAAGCGTATTGTAAGTCGTCTCCAATTTCGATATGTTTACATACGTTACAAGCTTCCATTCTGAAGTGTATAGTTGCACCTGACCTATGTGATCATAGTACAGTCCGGGCGTGTCCTCATAGTTCTTGACTGTGAAGTCTACTGCGACGACGGCGACGCACGTCGCGCTCAAAATCAACAGCGTCTCGAGTCGCATGTCAAGCTGAAATTAAATGAAAAGCTTCAGTCTGTTGCTGTGCACTTTGAAGGTTCGTCTTTTTGTACCTGAACGTAATACGCAATTTACACCTGTGACTTCGACCACGGTGTACGGTCCTATCCACGGGGAAGAAAGTTTCTTAGAGCGACCTCGTCTGACATGTTGCTGTAGCAGAAGTACAAGATCACCTTCGCGGAACGTAACCGTATTTTCCTTCTGGTCATAATATCTTTTAGACACTTCCTTCGAGTTTAGTAGCGCCTTCCGCGCTACCTCATGGCTGTACTGTAGCCTCTCCTTTAAGCTGCTCACGAAGTCTTCTCTCTCGTCGTAGCTAGAGCAACTGGGACGGCGTTGTAGCAGTCCTGGCATCGAAGGCTTTCCTCCGAAAACCAACTCGAATGGACAGTATTTAGTGCTCGTATGGGGAGTCGTATTATAAACGAATGCTGCCGTTGGCAACAGTGTATCCCAATCATTCTGCTCGTGGCATATAAAATGACGCAGATATTCTGTAATTACTGCGTGCGATCTTTCGACACTGCCATTGCTCTGAGGCCTAAATGGAGTTGTATTAACTCTCGAAATTCTTAAAAGTTTGCATAAGTGCCGCATTACTTCTCCGGTGAAATTCGAGGCGCAGTCTGTGAGAATCGAACCCGGCGATCCGAACACAGTGATTACATTGTCGACTAGCGCTCTCGCTATCGTTACGGCTTCTTGATTTGGAAGCGCAATGGCTACCAGGTACTTGGATAGCTGGTCCTGGCATGTGAGAATGTACTTGTTCCCTTGTTCCGTTAAAGGCAGGGGACCCATGCAGTCCAAGCTAATCTTTTCAAAAGGGGCATACGGAGTGTCAGTAACCTCCATTGCCATCTTCGTGTAGGGAACTGTGTGCTTATTCCTCTGGCACGATGCACATTTCCTTACATAATTTTCTATGTCCCTTCGCATATTTGGCCAACTTACGTAGGGTTTCAGCCGTTCATATGTTCTTGAGATTCCCGTGTGCCCACCTATAAGAGATTCATGGTATTCTCTTATAATACTTTCTTTCTCGGAATCCGAGGGTTCGCTAAAGTTCCCAGAATATTCGGAACCGACTGTCTCATTTTTTTCGTTTGTAGCGGACCCTGCCAACTTTTGACCCCTCGATTCTGCTTCCTTGTCACCGCCCTCACTAGCATCTGCTTTGTGTATGCGAGACAAGAAATCGGCATGCGATATTGTTTTACCTGACCGGTAATGTATCGTGAAGTCATACTCTTCAAGTTTAATTCGCCATCTTAATAAACGTGAACTAGGATCCTTAACATGGAACACCCATTTAAGTGGCTTGTGGTCAGTTACAATGTTGAAATGTCTACCTAATACATATGGGCGAAACTGTTTTACAGCCCAAATAATGGCGGCCATTTCTCGGTCTGTTGTGCTATAATTTCTTTCGGACTTATTAAACGTCCTGCTAGCATATGCTATCGGGAGGTCTTTGCCTATTTCTCCCTGGCTCAGTACACAACCGGCGGCGTCGCCTGAAGCATCGGCGGTAATAATAAACGGTCGCGAAAAATCCGGGTATTGTAAGATAGGAGCCGTAACCAACAGCTCTTTCAGAGTCTGGAAGGCGTTCTGCTGTGGTTCCTTCCAGTCGTATACCGCGTCCTTCTTCAATAACTCATACAGAGGTTTTGCCACCCTACTGTAGTTGTGAATGAAACGTCTGTAATACGAGGAGAGCCCTAAAAATCCCTTCAGTTCTTTAACTGTCTTGGGTTCGGGGAAGTTTCGCACTGCCTCCGTCTTTCTAGGATCCGGCCTTAGCCCCTCGTCAGTGGCGACGTGAC